CGGTGTGTCTTCGTTAGATGGCGCTGTAGTATGTTTCTGTTTATTTGTATGTAGGAGTCGCCACAAATATATAAAATGTATATATACTCGTATAACGTATATTTATAAAACCTCGGACAATAAACAAGCTTCACTCTCTACAATAAACAAGCACCACTAGTGCTCCATACATCGCGACAGAAGTAACAACATAACAACTTTTAACCCAATTTGTTGTCTCAACACGCCATTTTCGCATTGTTTTCACACAAAAAGGGCCTATTTATACCCATGTCCGCTTCCAAAGCATAACTAACTGAATTACTGTACTGGAGTGTTATACGCGTACTGTGGAACACAAAGGATGAAGCGATAAGAAACAGCGGATTTATTTTTTAGTAGTGGTTTATGGCAAAAAGCTGTAATTCTAACAGTAACAGGGTTGATAAATATCCTCCTACTAACTTCCCACTAGCAGAAACATAGAAGTTTGCTTGGAGCAGTCACAGAGCAGAACCAACTGTACGCTTAGAATTGTAAAGGGCACAATTTTTTCACACCAACTACTTTATAAACTTAGCTGTCGTGATATACTCGTATTTAGTAACTCTTACTTCCATGTAACTTATGATTTTACCTAACTTTTTTAAATGCGAACCTAGAAATTATATAAACGTAGTATTTTCATGTCTAATTTATTCTTTAAGCCACTAATGCAGCATATGTTTCTAAATTATTATAATTTCTTAATTTTTTAACCATTTTGTTTTAAATTCCTAAATATTTTTGGCAAATGTCAGGTAATGACTCTGTTCTAGTAGCTAATCTCAACTGAAACCTATTAGATGTGAGAAATTTCTTATCCGATTTTCAAAATTTAAACAATCTAATCTCAGAAAATAACAGCCAGACGATAATGATGATAATTAATTAGAACAAGGCGTAGCTAAAATAAACAGCAATATTATTCTTCTTTTCTCGCTGGTTCTTTTGCTTTGGCCCAAACACTTTGGTAGCTATTAAAATTCAGAGCATGAACGTACCGGGCTGAAAGCTAGACACGCCACAGATAACGACTTATACTTTTAACTAAATAGAAATGGGACGTAACCAAATTGGTCCTTACTTTTATATCAAGTTATGCTAAATTATGAGCGGTCAGTTGAAGCTTTGAATTTTAATGAGATAAAGATTTTTGTTAAAAAAATTCAGGGACGGATTCTGGGAGGAAACATATAAATACTAGTTATTGCCCGTGGGTCCGCCCGCGTGTATGTCGGTTATCGCGGTAAAAGTAGCCTATGTTATTCGCTGATAATGTAGCTTTCAATTTGTGAAAGAATGTTTTAAATCGGTTTAGTGGTTTAGGCGTCGAAGTGTAACGAACAAACAAACAAACTCACTTTCACATTTATAATATAAATATGGATGTATTGTTAAATTGAACCCTTTATTTAACCATGAATGGGACTGGTAAGATACAACACCAATTGACCCAAAATTGCGAATCCCATACTTACCACGATACCACTTGTCCCAAGTTTATTTGGGATCGGCTCAGTGAGATTTCTTCTTCCATTCTGCTCTATCACTGGTTAGAAAACTGCTTGCTCCTTTTATAGCCAATTCCTCTTTCACGCAGTCCATTCATCTTTTTCTTGGTCGTTCTTTACTCTTAATTCCGTCAACTTACGAGCTATACCTCCTTGTCTCAAGAACTTACCAACCTATATATATTAAATACTGTTAAACATTCTTATTTTCTCCCATACAATATAAATCTCTAAATATTTCATACAACAGTCTGCCTTTTCATACGAGACAAACATGCTGTCACTCGCTCTCACCATAATGTGTCAAAAGAAGCGTGAATATTGTTCATTGGGCTATGTCAGTAAACATTCATTAAGGTCTGGTTTCATTAGTGAATAAAACTGATTTAAACATATAAATATAAAACAACTGGAAATCAGCAATAACCTAATTTATAACTTTCTAACAAAATATGATTATCTTTATATATAGGAGAAGATGGATGGACAGCTTGAAAGAAGGATATGATCTGAAAGGGAGTAAGCAGGGAACTGACTAGTGATAGAGGAGAATGGAAGAAGAATCTCATTGCACCGATCACAAATAAATTTGGGAAAAGAGTAGGAAAATGATGATACAAAATTAAATATTACGAAATTAGATGGAAACTTCTCGTGAGTGGTATACATATTAGTACAAGATACAGGGTTTGATGGTAATAGAAGAACACTCTGGGTCCTGAGCCTAATGCGGCAGGATGTCTCATTCTTTGAAAAAGAGCCCAGTCGAGCATCTTCGATAACCCATGTGATTTAAACCATTTAGTTATAATAAACATTATGAAACGGATTCCAAATCCGTTCAGTCCTTCTATGCAACCGATTATTGCTTATTTTTTTCAGTTAATGTCAGTTAAATGTATCATAATACTTTGAGACCCATCTAACTTACACTCTTTTTAAGTTTATCTCCAACATTATTTTATCTTACTTTTGTTTTCATAGTTTTCTAGTTTACACCTGCGGCTATAATAAAGCGTGGTTTTGTTTTAGTGTAAGAATACTCTCTGATATCAGCTTCTTTATTTAACCTCTATGCTTTTTTGAATGGGGGGAATTAGAGACAAGCTGGGTGTAACCACGCAATTAAAACCCAATGCTGTGAAGCATTACGGGCTCACTATAGTTACCACCAATAATGCAGTCTTTTTAGTTTCATTTTTTATTATTGTATAAATAATTTAACATATTATCCATGAGACAGATTAAGAATAGTCATCTGCTAGATAGACCTTAATTTTAGAAGCTTATTGCTATAATGAAAACCCAGATTAACAGTAACGTAAACAATGGGAGGGTTATTTCCTCTTGTCATACACATCACGTAAGGTCTGATGAACTCATGTGTCCAACATACAGTCATTATCAGTCTATTGATTTCAATATGGGTATTGTTTATTATATACCGACATCGCACGGAGAATCAGTACACTTAAGTGGGAGTGGGCCGGTCATGTCTCTAGGCGGAGTTATAGTCCCTGGATTCGACATGTGCTAGAGTGGAGACCGCGATTAGGCAAAGGTAGTGTAGGGTACCCTTTGGCACGATGAACCCGCGACTTGATGGCTGGCAGCGGATGGATGAGGATTACCCAAGACCGGTTGATGCTCCTCGGGCAAAGCCTATCGCCTACGTTCCTACGTTCAGTAGCGGACGGCGATAGGCGAATGATGGATGGTATATTTAATTTCCGGCCTTAGTCTTAAGTATGTCAAAGGTACTAAAGGCATCTAGATCAAGTGTACATATATAGGTTAGTGTCCTAAAACCGTATATTAGTATGTGATATTCCTAAGCTTTACATATTAAAAAAAAAACAGCAGGTTAGAGCCCCAAGCCCCTGATTAAAGAGGGTGGGAAGAACTCTACTTAGAAAGGAGGTTTTAACCTACTAGGCCTAGGAGAGGCCTATGTCCAGCAGTGGACTATTAAACGCTGTTGATGCGGAAGCACTCGGCCTCGTATGCTTTCTACACAAAATGAACTAGATGGACAGTGGAAATCAGTAATGGTTATCCCATTACTGATTTCTACTGCCCATTTAGTTCACATCCTAGACACGTCTATCGTAGCTTAGTCCTGAGAGCCCACCAATTACGTACACAATGACATCCTGGACTCGGATGAGGTTTATCGCTCAGGAATAAGTACTAGACTAACAAGTCAGTCAAATTATCCGCCTTTGTCCAAATGTACATGGAGTTTTTAACAAACAAATATTTTGAAGTTAATAAAGAGATTTCCACAATACAGTTATGACCAAATACCGTTCAAGTTTTAATATTTAATCCGCTCAGTATTTCCATTTTATTCAATACACAATACTGAACGTTGAATACTGTTAAATTATTAATCGTTTGTGGTGAATCATCGTGTTACGAGAATAAAGAAATTTACTAAAAGGCAAAAAAGGTAAAGATCAAAGGGTGAGACTTCTTGGCAATAGCTATTTCTTTTTTAAAGTGGCATCACGCTGAGATAACGATCATTTTTTGTCGCTTGCAGTTTTCAGTATGTTTATGTTATTGTAATAAGTTGTACGAAGCATGTGTGAAAGCATCGTCTGTATGAGCACAAATATAAATGCTGCTTTCTTTCTTTCTATTTATTGGTTTTAATCACCAACCGGTCCGGTATGCAATGCAATATCCTTTTCTTTATACTATCTTTGTCTTTTCTTCCGTTCAATGTCTTTTCTTTTCCGGACACTCCTACTTAAACTTCTTCAATTCGCAGTGCCCAGTAAACAAAATATTCCACGAAATATCGAAGAAAATAACCAAGGAATAATAAAAATAAACTATAAAGTAGTATATGTACTTATATTTCTCAGCATATTTTTGTAGAAGTGAACACAAAAACAAAACACGAAACTACTCTCAGAACTGCGGTTTTGTACAAAAACAATTTTATAGTTTCCTTGCTTCAGTTTTGCAAGTTTTACCGTAAAACAAATAGTTTTAGTACAAATTATACCATCATGATTTATGTGATGAAGTTTGAATAGAATGGAAATCAGAGTGACGTAGAACAAAAATATTCTGAATAATAAAGTAATTCAGAGTCTAGGATTACCGGCACTGCTATCTTTACCCAGACAATGCGAACCTTAAAAAAAAAAAAATACACAGCTCACGTTTACGGCAAAGATATAAATAGAGAAAATAGATTTCTTTTACCAAACAATGATATGTATTTCATTGTACTCTAAGCGGAGATTTATGTAAGTAATTTTCAAAAGAATACACATGAAATAACTGAAAATGAAACCGAAAGTGTATTGCCGTCAAACGGGCATTTCGGAAACTAAAAATGTAAAATTGGGGAGTATATTAAAAGTGGAAGGTAGGTACCAAGAAACAATATATCTTAAAGGGATTGTTTGGAGAATTCAAGCAATGGTCCGAGCAGATCAAGGTTACGTAGCTCTAGTTCAAGCGGGCTGCTGGCAAGTAATCCAAACCATCTATAACTTGTTTCATTGCGTCGTATACTCGACCGAGCTGTCGGCGGACAACTCGAGAATTCTGACATAAGTTTTATAGTCTTATATGTCATTTACCTGGATCTATTGTAAAACTATTAGAAACTGAGAAGAATAAGTTAATAAAGTGTGAGGTTCAAAACTCTAATAGACTTAGGGTAATTTAGCTTTTATTACTAACCTGACATCTTCCATCGATGCACATATCAAGACTGCCTGGCCGACATCTGGTGCCGTCCGACACCCTCGCAGCTAGTACGGTTACCACCACGCGGTCTTCGTCATCTAGAGACACAGTCTGTGGACAAAGTATCGGTTGCTCATCAATTCAAAACTACATTACACATTATTGTCGAAGTGAATATTGAGAAGCTTGTCTATTACTAGGAATATAAATGTATGTTTCTCGAAGTACTACGCCAGGAAATTTTTATTACAAAAGTATTTTAAACGTAAATCACTATCATATCTAGGCAATGTGCTGGGAGCGAATGGAGCTAACTTAATTCAAGGAAGTTAACATTGCATTCTTGCGACTTTCAATTGATATTTTTAAACATTGGGATTGAGTCTTTAGTAAAAGAAATGAGGTTATATGTTTTGTTGAATTGACTAGATTCTAAAAAAAATTGTAAAGGTTTACTAGCAAGATTATCCGGATTGAGGATTACACTGCATTACTAGAATTAAAACTACTTTCTTACTTATAAATAAGTAAGAAAATTTTCTAAAAGATCAATAGGGGAATAGAAGTTGATGGAAAACTCATATGTATTGAATATATAAGTAGCAAATGGCCCCGCTCGACTGGAGCGATACCACGGCCTAAAAGAAAACCAGCGTTAAGTTTAGTTTTTCACCGAACTTTTCACCGACTAATGAAATTACTGGAAAGGAAACGCTCCCCAGTAACTTCATCTCATCTGATGCATTGAGTTATAAGTGACCATAGGCGCCGGTAGTCACTTACCATCAGGCGACGTCTGCTCGTTTGCCCGCTTTACCAAAAAAAAACAAATTTGTCTTTAACTTACCGGCTCAGGACTTTGTCCAGAATGTTGTGGTGTACCTCTACAAGTAAGAGCACAAGGTTCTGCGTCATCCCTGTGAGCTCTCCAATGGAATAGCTCCCCTCCGTATGGGGTGTCATCATGAGCACTGCATTGCTGTTCACGCCAGATATCTTCTTCTAAGAGGGAGACGTTTGCGCGACATGGCTGTGGGAGAAAACTCTACTTTAGTAGTAGTAGTAGTAGTCCATGGGGTGAAGGATTAAGAATATAGAGTGTCACCACCAATATTCATCCCGTGGACACCCACACCACGTAAGAGCCGACCAAGGGAGCAAACTATGCAGGACAACAGCACTGCAGAGAGAAGGAAAACTTGACATAAATCCTTAGCCAACCCGTCTGGCCAGCGTGGTGTAGTAGGCCAAACTACAGGCTGTTAATGATGATTGATGATAAAATAATCTTATATATATAATTCTCGTGTCACAATGTTCCTTCCCGTACTCCTCCGAAACGGCTTGACCGATTCTCATGAAATTTTGTGTGCACATCGGGTAGGTCTGAGAATCGGCCAACATCTATTTTTCATACCCCTAAATGGTAAGGGTGACCCATCCCTATTTTTTGTTTGTTTTGCAATATAACGTTTGCCGGGTCAGCTAGTAATGTATATAAATTGGTTTTGAAATAGGTCTGTAAACATTAAGGCCTCAATAGATCAAAGGTTTCGATCTGTATCGTCATCCGCCTATATCCTTTAACTTCTGAGACATTTTGGCTATAAAGTTGTCGTTTAACTTATCTCTTACAATGATACTCAATAATAAGTGCCTGCCTTGGTGGCACAGTGGTAGCGTATGCGACTGCTATGCTGAGGTCGCGAATTTGCAAATTTTTATTAGAAGTTTGGGTGTTTTCTATGTATAATATGTATGTATTTAAAAAAAGTATATGAGTATTATTATATCAGTCAATCTAGCTTTCATAATACAGGCTCTGCTTAGTTTCCTTGTTGGGATGGCGTTGTCACAGATGTCCGAAAATATTATTATTATAATCATTCATGTCTTACACACGGCCATCTGATTTCTAAAACGGTTTGATCTCAAAATACAGGTGTTAAGCACTAAGCACTTTCGTTGTTCTTCACCGAATGAGTGACGGTCACCGAAAACCAAAATCGTCCTGGGAGCCAGTTGCTAGTTTATTTCATATGAACTCACCACACCATCACTAAAACATTCAGGACAAAGTCCTGATCGTAATAGGCGTGAATAGGTATTTTCTGTTTTATCGGAAGCATGAACGGTCCCTCTGTCGATTTCAATTATGAGTAAAACCAGGGATATTAAAATAAATAACATTTCATTTGATTATTTATTAAAAATTCAAAGAATATATTAGTCAATTGGTTTTTTGACACATCATTGTTTCTGTGAGATATGATGCGGAAGAAAAAATTGTAAGAAGAACGAATTTTCAACCGGTTGATGCTTGCTTGCAAATGTCTCTCCAAAATTGGTGATGAGAGCATTCAAAGCTGGGACTTTTTTTTTAAAACATATCGGCTTTTATTGTGTTTTAACACTTCGTAAGTATTATACCAGTTATCGAGTCTTTTGTTAAAAAATAACCACCCGCCATTGGCACTTTAGTATACTAAAGCGACAGTGTAAATGACAGTCAACACTTAAGCATAACGTTCTTATGATTTTTCTCTCTTTTATATAAAACTGGCAAATGAAACCGTTATTATTACAACCTTACTAAGAGTCGAATGTATTTGTTATATAGGAATTAGGTTAGTAAAAGAAACAGTCCCCGTTTGTTATCGTGGAGGAAAATCTCGAACACGTATGTTATAGAGTTTCAAAGGCAATGCTAGAGATGGGACATCGTTCGGATATATTTAGGTGTCTTGTAGGTTTCGGATTTTGTGTTTTGAGTAATTAAGTAATGTTACAATGAATTAATTATGGTTTAAAAAAAAATGCGATTTGTATGGTGCGTTTTCTTGTGGTGGCGGATTAAAAATACTGAGTGTCACTATAGAATAAACAAACATACTGAAACAAAAATACTGCGGGTGTCCTAAGAGCCCACTAAGGGTATAAACTACGCAGGTCAACAGCACCGCAAAGCGAAGGAAAATTTGAAACAAACCCTATGCCTACCCGTCTTGCCAGCGTGGTATAGTAGGCCAAAATATTCTTTCTAAGGTAAAGCCCATGTCCAGCAGTTGACTATTAAAGGATAAAAATGTGATTTAAGCATTTTGTTTAAACCTCGATGTATTTATGTATTGACAAAGAAGAAAAAAATACTTTTGTTTCGGATTTAAAATGTCGAGGCCTTTTAGTTTTTTTTTTTGTTTAGACATCTCCCACACTAAGAATAAATCATGGATCGTGGGGGACTTTACAAACATACATGAAACGGGCACAAAGAACACGCAGACTTAGAACAACAATTTTTGGATCACACAAAGTGTTGTTCCATGTGGGCATCGAACCCACAACACTCAGCGCTGTAGGAAGCAGCGAGGTGACCGCTTACACCATTACACCATCCATGCAGTCAATTAATTATTCCAAATACCGTCTGCACATACATAATCCTCTGCCTCCCCCTTCGTCTTACAGGAGTGTGTGTGTGTGTGTGTGTATTTACTATTGTAATGTTATGAGTTTTTTTTTAACTTATACTTTATGCACAAATATGTCAAAGGCGGACTTAATGCCGTAGGCATTTTCTCCCAGTCGACCTTAGGCCGATGCAGAGCTAAAACACGGTAGATGCACAGAAATTTAAAATGTAATTATAGCATAATAGATAATAGGACAACACACAATAATAAGACAACACTCAGCACATATTGGTAAAACATGTTTGTAAACTATGTATTAGTGTATGTTTTATAAGTTGTCTTAAATAAATAAATAAATCATGTACCCAGAGTTCTTATACTAAGTACATTAGAATAATTATTACTTAATAATAAATATACAATAAGTGATTATGATACTAACACACACAATACATAAGTATTTACATACACATATATACCCGCATAATAAATTCTAGAATTTATAGACACCAGTGACTATTACTCATGACGCCAGTCATATTTTTGCAAATTTCAGTCGTGTAAATCATAAAAAAATATAAAACATAAACTTAAATGGTGTTCAAAGTGAACTAAAAATATAGATCATGTCTAAGCAAGTAATATTCGATAGAGCAATATTCCTTTCTATTTTGAGAAATTAAAACGCCCTGTTTATCAACTGTTGGGTGCCAGAGGCGACACTCCCGTGTCAGTACTCTGGAAACATCAATGTGAGCTCTATTTCCGGACACAACTGACTCACGGAGCCCCGACGTGCCACTTACTGCAATGCGTTGGAAATGACAGAATTTTATAATAGAAATAGTTTCGATATTTGAATAAACAATTTAATACAGAATGTTCTTTTTTTTTAGGATTGAGTAACGCTTTTGCATTTGGCATCACTGTTCATTTGTTTATGACTTAGTTTGCATGCCTGACCTGCTATTAAACAGTAAACCTTATTTAAGAATTTCAAGACTAATAATTTCACTTGTGTATACATAAGCCTGTTTGATAGATGAAATGTAAGAAATATCTTCACGACAATTGATGTGGATAGAATTTGGTGGTTAAGTTTATTTAAACCCCTCATAATGAAAATAATCTTTCCAGTGGAAAATGACAAAGTTTCATTGATAATTATCGAATAAAGATAATATAACCAAATTGGAATTTGGCTTGGAATAGCATTCCGTTACACAAACCACTACGCTATCCGGTCGTCTAATATAGTCCGTATGATTAGCAAAATGAGCAAATATCAAGGAACATTTTTACTTAAAGGTAGTTCGGATATTGTCGGATACATACATTTCCTATTTAGTCACCTCCCTATCACAAAGCTTCGCCCGCGCCAATGATCAAAAGTAATACGTTGTTATCAGAAAGCATATGTGACCCGACTTACTTGCTCCTTTAATTAAATATTGATGTATTAAATAGCTTTGAACTCATACAATGAAATAAAGGAATGTAGACATTGAAGTCAGTCCGTGTGGTGACGGATTAAGAATACCGAGTGTCACCACCCCTAATCATCCCGTGGGTATCATAAGAGCTGACTAAGGGAAAAAACTACGCAGAACAACAGCACTGCAGAGAGAAGGAAAACTTGACACAAACCCCATACCCGTCTGGCCAGCGTGGTAAAGTAAACCAAAACCTCCTTTCTAAGGAGAGGCTTATGTCCAGCAGTGGACTGTTAAAGGCTGTTGATCATGAAGGCATTTAAGAAACAAAAAAGTTTAAATAAAAACACAACTTATTGACTTCAAAAGAAAAAATACAACCAGAAATAATGTAGATTTATTTTCATTTAGGGAAATTAGGCGTTTCGTATTTTGAAATAGCGTAGTAGCGCGCGGATGGATAATAACAAGGGATCTATATTTAGATTAATGATAACACCCTTCTAGAAAGGGTTAAACACACAGATCGACGTTGAAACCTAAGAAGGACTTAGCTAAAAAAATATACTACGGCTAATATGCTACTCCGACTGTTATTTTACGTTTATATTAATGTTACGATTACATAAGCAATGTATCGTGTTGATTTTGTATAGTGTTCACAAAGCGCGCGTTTCTCAGACTTTAAGGATGCGTCGTTGTAGTTCAGTTTTTGTTAAATGTTTGCCTTACACAGAAAATTAAATCATTTCGGGTTGAGTTCTTAATTTTTAAGCTATTGCATAGCTTCTATCGCGGGCCTTGAGCGTGGCTCAAGTTGTTCCTTTGACATGACAAATGGGGGAGACCAGTTTTTTTTTATTAATGTAATAACATCCACATACAATCCCCCCCCCCAAAAATTTTATAATTGCATTGAGGTCCCTTCAAAATACCTCCCCTTCTCTCCCCTCCACTTTTTTCACTTATCCCCCCTTTGATTTTCTCGGTACCTGGAGCACTTGGACACCCCATGTTTGGATTCGTCTGAACCGGGAAAAGGAGACGAACAATCTGGCCCCTACAGATTTTTTAGCTGGTACCCGCAACTTTGTTCGTGTGGAATTTGAAAACACTGCCTTAGTGGGTTCGATTCCGGAGCCGGGCATTATTCTATAGGGTTTTCCTAAGATAATTAGTTAATACTAGCTGGTACCCGCGACTTTGTTAGCGTGGAATTTGAAAACGCTGCCTTACTGGGTTCGATTCCCGGCCGGGCAAATTTCTATACCACGCTGGCCAGATGAGTTTGTATAGTATTTTTCCTTATCTTTGCAGCGCTGTTATCCTATGTAGTTTGCTCCTTTAGTCGGCTCTTATGACACCCTTAATCCGTCACCACACAGGGCTTTACAATTTACAACAACTTATATATATCGAAAGAAATCCTGAGATTTATCTTCAATTGATGGCTACATTTTAACTACGAGTACAAGGATCAGAGCGTGATTGATTTAATAATAATAATAATAATTTTACACATCTCACACACGGCCGTCTGATCCCAAACTAGGCAGAGCCTGTACTATGGTAATCAGACTGCTGATAAACATACTTATATATTTCTAAATACATACATAATATAGATAAATTACATCCAGACACAGAACAAATGATCGTGCTCATCACACAATTATTTGTCCTGGGTGGGAATCGAACCCACGACCTCCGGCCTAGCAGTCAGGGTCGCTAACCACTAGACCAACAGGCCCGTTTGTTTTGTGTTTATTAAAGACAATTGGTTTTACTCATGTGTGTATTTCGAGTTTGACAAATAGTTTTACGGTGGTCCCGTTGCGACAAAACGTTTTACTCCTTGAAAACTAGGTCTATATTATACTGTAGTTATTAATTGTTTCGTGTTCTGAAACCACCCTCAGGTATTAATATTATATGTAAGTCACAAACTTGTGAAACATAATCGAATTGTCAATCTGTCCAATGTCCCGAACGTGTGAAGATTGGGTCCCAATCATACTGGATGCGGTGGATTAATTAGTTTCTACAAACCACTCGGGGTGTGCCTTCATAACGAATAAGTCGAATACCAATTTCCAATGGAGTAGGAAATTTGCCACAAGTCGCAAACTTATGATAATCAAACTTGTTTAATTAATATCTTGTATGAATGGTTCTAGAACAAACAATTACATTAGACAATGGTTCCAAATGTTGTTTGATATCACACTGTTATGTGAGCAGACGGGTCACCTTAGGGCCTAGTTTATTTCAGACCTTCTCGATAGTCAAGGTGACCGCGTTCCCCATTGTCATTGGCGAAGAGTTCAGCGTGGGCCAATCGCAGCCCCGAACGTGGTCACCTTGACAATCGAATAGATGTGAAATAAATTCACACTAGGGTCTCTTATGGGGCACCAGGGACTTCCTTTCTAGGGTATACCTGGTTCCCCGGTTATTAGTACCCGAGAAGGCGTGCGGTTTTAGTCGGTTCGAGTCCGACATGCCACCGACACGTGGTATCCGAGGGGATTTCCGCACGGAAAAAAAAAAGCGTCTCTTATGGTATTGGTGGTGGTGATTGCTGCCGTCCCCTCCAGGATGTGATTGAGGTGAGGTTTGCGTTTTGGTAACCTTACTCAATAGTGAAAAACAACGATATCATCTGCTTGACATCGGTTTTCTGTGAAGCCATGGTATAACTCCGGTCGGCCCATCTGTGCCCAAGAAGGGCTCCCCATAGAGTAATTGATGGTTCATTTTGAATCTAAAAATTTTGTTAATCCTTATTTCATCCTACTGATATCATCCCTAAATATCTTTATATATTTTTTTTTAGTTTTAAAATATAACTCCGGCATTAGGAACATATCCTGTGTCGCGGGGGACTTTACAAACATACATGAAACGGACAAAAAGAACAACCAAACTCAGAACAACAATTTGTGGATCACTAAAAGTGTCGTCCTATGTGGGGATCGAACCCACAACACTCAGCGTAATAAGAAGCGGCGTGACGACCGCTTAAAGCACTATGCCAACGGTGCAGTCAAATTTGTGCGAAACCCAAAGCTGTTTTGCCGAGCCTTTTTCTTTTTTAGAACTTTTTTACGTGGTCGCTCCTAGTAAAAAAAACACGTAAAAAAGTTCTAAAAAAGAAAAAGGCTTGTTGCCATCAGACCTGTGATATCGAAGTTGTGTAGAAAGACTGTCGTCAGACATTTTTTAGGGCTTTAACTACCCGTAACGATTGCCACATTCACGGAGGGGTCGCAATACATTAAGGATGGTCACCCATCCATAGACTGACCTGGCTAGGATTGCTTAACTTTGCAATGTGTTAACCTACTCGGTTACCACTTAGCCACTTTTTTTTTTTTTTTTTTTTTTCCTTGCGGAAATCCCCTCGGATACCACCTCTCGGTGGCATGTCGGACTCGAACCGACTAAAACCGCACGCCGTCCCGGGTACTTATAGCCGGGGAACCAGGTATACCCTAGAAAGGAAGTCCCTGGTGCACCACTTAGCCCCTACGAAACCCAAAAAGCTGTACACACGATTTTATTTATATTTTTAGCGAGATTTGAAAAGTAAAAGTATTTTTTTATTACAAATTCCAATGCCTATCAATCATTTTGCTTCTCTACATAATAGCAAACAATACTCTATCTCACTCTATCAACACTTATCCCTTCGTAATTCACGCAGAAATCTTGAAAAATCTTCGCGTTATAAAAGGTCCACATCCTTCAACGGCTACCACTCACACCGTATTGTAACGATTTGCATCTACTGAAAAGGATATTGTATTCCGTACCACTTATGGAGTTAATCGGCTCTTCTTTGAGGAAAATCGGGCAGGATGGGGTGATATGGGCGGAGGGAGTATCGCGAACTGAATGACAATAAGCATTCACCCCATTTTATTGACTGCCAACGTTTTTAAACCTGATTGGTCGCTTTTTCCCGTGTACATTTTGTATTACTGAATTTGTGTTGACTTTTTTGGTATCAGATTTGTTTTTATTGTGGAGAACAATATGGGAATTTGTTC